AAAATATTTTAATATTCTTTTAAATTTAATAGATTTCCTAATAATCATGTTGAATTCAGTAAAATTGCAAGAAAATTAAAAAGAAAAGCTGGTATTCCATATGTAGTAGGAGCAATTGAAGGAAATTATATTCCAATTAAAGCATCTAAATAATATCCTATAAATTATTATAATAGAAAAGGTTTTTATTCTATTGTTTTATAAGCAGTTATCGATTCTTCAGAAAAGTTTATTAATATTTTTGTGGGATATCTTAGCTTAACTCATAATAGTAGAATATTTTATAATTCACTATTATATCATAAATTTAGTTCTTTTAGTTTTTCAGTTATTCTTACAAATGCATATATTTTAGACAATGCAGGTTATCCTTGTCAAAATTGATTACTTATATCATATTGTGATAATAGAAGATTAACAGCAATACAAATATATTATAATGTCAAACATTCTCAAACTTGTATAGATGTAGAACAAGCATTTAGAAGATTAAAATCAAGATTTATGTGTTTAATTAACCCTTTAACAATATCAATAGAAATAGCCATTCTTATTGTAATAATAACTTGTATTCTTCATAATATTTGTGAAGAAAGACAAGAAGATATGTTAGATGATAACGATTATTTTGACAATTAAAATAATTTTCAAACTTTATTGGATAATAATGATATCAATAGTGTAACTTATTTAACTAATTCTATTAGAGATAATTTAGCAAATTATCTATGGAATAAAAAAATTCAAAGAGATGTTAGAAGAAATAGATACAATTTTATTGGTGAAGGAGATGAAGAAGATAGCGAAACATCCAAATAAAATAAATAATTTTCACTTTATAAATTTTGATTTAAACTTTATTTTATTATGTTTTTTATAAAATATTAAAATTCATCAAAATGTGAGGGTGAAGGACTTCTAATATGTAAAGTATTGATGTTGGTATTATCGATTTATGTAGTACTTTTGATTTGTGCAGTATTATCAATTTGCATAGCATTGATTTGCATAACATTATTTTGCATTAAATCAATTGAAGTAGATTAGAAATAAAAAGAAACTATAATACAATAATTAAAAAATAATTAGAAAATAAAAATGTGAATTTTATAATAATAAATAATATATACCATTATTAGTTTAAAGCAATGCTATATTATTTAATAAGTGTAAAGCTGAAATTAGTAAACTAAACTCATGTCTTCTTTGATCTTCTCTTTGCTTTCTCTCAATTTCTTTTCTTTTTCATTCTTCTTTTTTGTATTCTTGCTCTTCTTTTCTAACATAGATAAGTTTCTCTAATACACCTTTAACCTGTCGTACTTTAAATCTATTAGCTTTTTATGGCTTTTCTTCTTGGGTTAGTTCAGACTCATTTTTTCATTTATTCTGACCAGTAATTTCATTAAATGGAATGTTATTTGCTTCAATATTAGCATTATCAAATCCAAACTACTATCCAACGATTTTGAAGTTAAATTAGAACAATTCCTATTAAGAATATTCTCTACTTTCTCTTTATATTGAACTTCAATTGGATTATTATTACTTTATTTATTATGGTTCATATCATCCTACCAATAGTTAATATTTTAATAAAATATTAAAGTATTAAATAAAAAGTAAAGTTATTACAGTCAAACCTTGATATAATGAACCCTTGATATAGTGAATTTTTAAATCAAATATATTAAAATTACCTTTACTATAGTGAACTAGCTAATTAAATTCTTTAAAAAATTCATTATAAGCTTATAACGAAGTTAATATCCAGATCCTAGAATTTGTTATATCAAGAGTTCACTGTACTAATAAAATTACTGCATTCCCTTAAAATTACTGATACCTTCTACACTTTCATCATTATGATCAAATCTGCTACTATAAAGTTACTACTACCAATGTTTAAAAAAAAGTAATTTTTATATTTATTTTTAATATTACATTATAAATAATATATATATAATATAATATAATAATAATTTAAAAAATCAAGAAATTAGAAGATTTATTATATTGATTTAAAATCAGGTAAATATTTTATATTTTATATAAAATAAATAAAATTTCTTTATTTTTTATATTTTATTGTATTTTTTTTTTTTAATAAAAATTTATTAATTAATTATATTTATTTAATGATTAAATATGTAAAATTACAACCAAAATTACATATATAATTCAATGTTTATATAATAAAATTTAATCAAAATAATGTATACAATATATTGATTAGACATATAAAATCTAACCAAAAATAATGAATAATATATATAATATACTAATTAGACATATAAAATCTAACCAAAAATAATGAATATAATATATAATTAAATATAAAATATTTACGTAAAATTACATATATGAAAGAAGCTTTGCAATAAAAAGGAAGAAAACTTTAAAAAAATTTTTTTTTGAATTAATGTTAAATCTAAAAAAAATCATATTTAACTTATAAAGTAAAATTTTAATTTTTTTTAGAATTTTTTCAATTTCTACTGCAAAGTTCTTATATAATATATTGATTAGATGTATAAATTCAGTATTTCTTTTGTATACATAAAAAATGATTTTCAGTATCTAATATACAAAAATATTTACAAATATATTATGTTTTTCTATATATATTATACATTTTTTTAGATATATTATTTCTGTATACTTTTCTTATACAGATTATTTATAAAATATGATTATAGTTTATATGTTAAATCCACAATTTTCAAAATAATAATGGAATTAAATCTACAGATTATACAAAATTTATAAAATATATAAATGAAAAATTTAGTGAAGAAGAATCTGTAAATTTGTCTATTAAATTAGTTAATTTTTGTAATAAATACTCTTCTTATAATAATAAATTATTTGAAAATCTGCTAATTTTTATAATTTCTTATAATTTATCTATATAGTGACAATTATGGTAAACTAGTTTACTTTAACAATTAACAATTAAAATTTTTTAATTTCTATATCATATGCAACTACAGAAAGAAAATTTTTACTTTTGGTTTCATTTATAATAAAATTCATAATAAATTATAAAATATATATATTAAAAATTAGTTTATATTTATGAAAATTTTTGAAATTTAGCATTAATAATTAATAATAATAATAAAAATAAAGAAAATAATGATAAATGTGATTTTGATAAAAGTAATCATATTTTTGAATATAATAATAAATTTAAATGAAAATAAATATAAATATATTCAATAAAAAATTTTTATATTTGAAATTTTATAAAAAAAAATATACAGTTATACTTAAAGATAGCTTCTCAACTAAAGATGGGAACTGTAATTAATATGTTACAACTTTTAGTGTTGCAACTTACGTTACAATTAGTTTTAACTTATATATGTTGCAATTTATAATGTTGCAACATATGTTGCAACTAATTTTAGCTTATATTGCAACATTTTGTAAATTTGAAATCAATTGCTGTACCATCTTTATTCTCAACTTATTTTCAAAAATAGTTGCAGTTGCAGTCTATATAAAAATATAAAGATACAGATTGCAGGTTATGATTAGTAAGGTCTAGTTACAATACTATCTTTAATTATACATCTATATAGTATATCACTAAGTCAAGCATTTTGCTAATCATATATATAAATTATTACATTATATTGTCTAGATTTAAGTTTCAAATAAAGCTATAATTATTTAAATAAATAGCAATAATTATTATATTTAATAATTTAATTATCTAAAATGTAATATAAAAATTCTATAGTAAAAAAAGATAACATAAAAGTTAGTTTTGAGCTAAAATTTTTAGTAATTCAGCTATATGCTAATTATAATTTTGAATCTTTAAATAAAACCATAGTGTTAAATATTTTTTCTTTACCTTTCTTTAGTATATTTTTTTCAGGTGCTATCCAAAATCCCGAAACCTAAATTCCCGACAGGCTCAAATCCCGCAACCCAAAATCCCGACAGGTCAAAATCCCGACAGGTATAAAATCCTGACAGGTCAAAATCCCGACAGGTACGAAATCCTGACAGGTACGATATATATTGTTCTATTTTATTTAATGTTAAATTTAATTAAATTTTATTAAATACTATATTTTAGGCTAGTTTTTCATTAATTTTATTTATGAAATTGGCAGTAACATCATCTGTCAGGATTTAGTACCTGTCGGAATTTTAACCTGTCGAGATTTTGGACCTGTCGGAATTTTGAGTTTCAGGATTTGGGCCTGTTGGGAATTTAAGTTTTGGGATTTCGAACCATACCCATTTTTTTTGTTTTTTTGTTTTCAAAAAGTTTACCTACAAAAGTGAACATTAAGGAGGTATCCTAACTAATAATCAGGATCAATATACTTTGAATACACAAATTTATATGATTATATTTTCCATTCCTTCATAAATAGTAACACTTTTTTTTGCAGATCTTTGATATTGAAAACTGTATAGTCCTACGCAGTATTTTCTGAGCTTAATCAACTGTATAATTTAAGCTTTATCTTATACTAGGGTCAGCTGTAATCTGGATTGATAGATATCTTAGCATTGGAAGTGATAGTCTGAAAAACCTCTATTGTAACTTGGTGATATGAATGCATCTGTATTGAGTGATTGCTGTAATCTGAAATTAACTAAATAACTTAGCTAAGAACTTAATAGAGTTATTTATTTTTATAATTTTCTATATATACCTATTTCCTTCTTTATGATAGTTTTAGTGAGCAGTTATTATTTTATAGTTAAGATCAAAGAACACATAGAATACTTATTGCTGTAGTTACTGCTCATTTTCTAACAGTAGTGAAATTTTGTTAAAAAATAATTTTTGGCATAATAGAATTACCAAACAGTACCTGATAGATTTTAGTTTAATCCTAATTATTATTCGAAGATAGTATCTTTTACTTAGTAAAAACTTCTGGTATTTAATTGTTTTACTTACTTATTATGTTAATAAAGTTTAAGATATATTATCATATTGAATTTAAAAATGCAATAAAAAATGCTATGCTGACAATATATATGTATAGTTTTTTAAAATATTATAATTTTGGTTGAAATTATAAATTTTATTATATTTAATCACGTGATATATAAATCATTTTCTTTTTAGCAATAATCATTTCACAAAAAAAAATCTTTTTTAAAATTAATAAATTCACTTTTTATATTATTATCATCAGAAATTGATCTTACTGCACTAATAATTAATAACCTATGAAATAACGATATAATAAATACTGTGTCAAATGATTTATAAAACTTCTGATTTTCTGAATTCTAAGGATTTACCTGATTCACTAAATTCACCTGATAAACCTTATAAGCTGGATAATTATTATAACGCTTATTTTCATTATTTTAATTATTATCTCTATTATTATTATTATTATTATTATTATATTAGCACTTGTAGTTACAAATTTAGTTAGTTTATAGTGTAGCAATTAGTTAGCTGTAGCAAATTAAATAGAATAGCTTTTTGCTTAAATTGTAAATTAACTCTATTGCGAGTTTTAGTTTTATTACAAATTTAAGTAATAAATAAAGGAATCAACTTTGAAAATAATTACTTTTTCCTTCTATGTATCTATCATCTAGGATTTGATCATAAATTACTATACTAATTTGCTTTTGTATTTATCAATTAGATTAAATAAATTCTTTATGTTTCTTCTAAGTTCCTAAACCTTTAAGTTTGTAAAGACAAACGAAGTAATTCTAAAGCATTTTAGATATCTGTAAGACATGTGATTCTTTAAGATTGTAAAGTCTAATAATAAAAAACTTTTACTGAAGCAAAGTAACTTAACGAAATACATATGATA